TTCCCCAGCACTCTTTTTTCCTGACTAAGGATTTCCTTCAGTTCCTCCTCCATACCTGACCCTCTGTCTCCTGGCATTTCCTGAAGGTTATTTGGATCTATCCTCACTGAGAAGGACACCAAGTATTTGCTCAACTGGTCTGCTAGCTCCTTGTCCATTATGAATCCACCTGATTCTAAGTGCAAAAGACCTATGTCTGTCTTCACCTCCCTTCCCTTTCCGTCTGTCTTACCTAAAAAATGAATAATCCTGGACGTTGAGATCCCATCCTTGGTCATCCTGGAGCCAGGCCTCCGTGATCCAAATTACATCATATCTGTGCAGTTAATTTTTCTTTTTATAAATGCTCCTTGCATTGAGACACAGAGCCTTCTATATGCAAACTAATTTTTTGTGTTTATTATCTTGGTTGATTTTACCACTGGACAAGTCAGATCACTGAAATCTAGCGTAGAACTTAGATCACAGAACATAAAATCCCCGTGGTGTGGAAGCAGGCCATTCGGCCCATCAAGTCCACACCAACTCTCTGAGCATGTCTTCTCCCCCAGATGCCTGTAACAGTGCATTTCCCACGGCCAATCCACCTAACCTGCACATCTTTGGTCTGTGGAGGAAACGAGCACCTGGGAAAAAAACCCACGCAGACTCTGGGAGAATGCACAAACTCCACACACACTCACCCGAGGGTGGAATCCAACCTGGATCCCTGGTGCCGTGAGGCAGCAGTGCTAACCACTGAGTTACTATGTCACCTTGAGAAATAATTATTTTCACCTAATGTCATCTTTCACTGAAACGTAAGTATGTAGTCCTGAAGATGTAGTTTTAACAGTAAACATAAAGTAGAACGAACTAAGTTATTTGTATATAACGCATTTGAAAGATTTTGAAACAACACATTTCAAAACAAAATTTCATCTATTTCAACACCATCACACAGTACTCAAATACCAGAAAGAGAGTTCCCCTTTTTCCCAAATCCATAGGTTTGACTTGATTTGGTTATTTCAGTTCCCAGTTGTGACCGTTTGTTCACCCTTTCCTTGATTATTTGCACAACTGAGCTCAGACTTTTTTTTTGAAGCTTCAAATAACTCCTTCAGGGTTCAATTGAACACTGGTCTGGAGCTTTTTAAATTTATTCACAGGATGTGGTCATTGTTGCAATTGTTGCAATTATTGCCCATCTGTAATTGTTCAGTAGGCAGTTGGGGGTCAACCACGTGTGTGTGTGTGTGCGCGCGCGCCCGCGTGTGTCACATGTAGTCAAGATCGGGTAAGGACAGCAGTTTTATTCCTTAAAAGACATTTGTGAACCAGATGGGTTTCCTGACTATTGACATTGGTTTCATGGTCATCATGAGACTCTTAATTCCAGATTATTACTTCAGATTCTATCATCTGACATGGCAGAATTCAAACCTGGCTCCTTAGAACAAACTAAAAACCGTCTGTTACCTCAGTATATTACCCAATTCCAAATTAACGCTTTTTTCCAAAAGAAACTGTTCTTCCATCTGATCTCAGCCAGGTTTTCTGCACACTGCTCCTAAGAGCACTTCAGTCTGTTTTTTGTTACAAAAGCTAAAGGTAACCCTTTATTCTCCTAAACCAAAATCAAGATAATTCCTTTCAATATACTCTCTTTCCAGCTGTAATATTCTCGTAATACACAATAATTTCCATTATCATTCTGGTTAGGTCCCAGTCAACTGCTCTCCAACACATGCTGACTTAAAGTCAAGGCTGCAGAAAAATGGACGTGTTAATTGTTAAACTCCTTCATACACATAGACCAAACACCACGTGCCACTTGTTTAAAATCCAAACTCTTAAGATTAATATAATTTTTAAAAACTGCAGATGCTGGAGACCTGAAACAAAAACTGGAATTGCTGGTGGAACTCAGCAGGTCTGGCACTATCTGTGGGGAGAAAGCAGACTTAATATTTTGAGTCCACTGGCTCATTAGAACTGGACAGCTGGGAAAAGTGGTATTTATGCTGAAGCTGAGTTTGGGGAGAGGTAAATGGATGGGTGGAGATGAAGCATAAAGAGAGAGAGAGAGAGAGAGAAGGCTGAATGAGTGATAATGAGAGCTGAGAGTTGGTGAGAATGCATTGGCTGTGCTAAAATAAACCCACGTCATGACAGGACCCAGTGTGGTGGTGGTTAAAAGTCATGAAGGGCTGGAACTAGGCTTTGAAGTTATTGAACACTCTCTATTGAGTCCTAGAGACAGCAGGGTCCCCAGATGGAAAATGAGATGATATTTGAACTTACGAATGAGCTAACTGGAACATTACAGCAGGCACGTATGAGTAATGTCGGCATGGGAACATGGTGATGTGTTGAAATGACAGGCATCTGGAATCTTGGGTTTTTTTTTTTTACAGACAATGTAGATGTTCTGCTAATTTCCTAGCCCTACACTCATACCTAGAACATCTGGATAACAAGAACACCTGCACCAGGCTCTTACTAAATGACTACAGCTCCATCTTCAACACTATAACCCCTACCAGACTAATCTCAAAGCTGAGACCTAGGTTTTGGCTCCACCCACTGCAACTGGATCCTCACTTCTTGATCCACCAACTCCAACTCCAATCTGTGAAGATGGACAACAGCATCTCGTCTACGATAATCCTCAACACTGGCGCCCCACGAGGATGCATTCTCAGTCCCCTGCTGTATTTCCTATACAACCATGACTGTGTAGCCAAATTCCGTACGTGCCATCTGCAAGTTTGCTGATGACACCACAGTGGTAGGACGAGTATCAAACAACACTGGGTCAGAATAGTGGAAAGAGATAGAATACTTGGTGTCATGGTGCAATGATAACAATCTCCCTCAATGTTGGCAAAACAGAAGAATTGATCATTGATTTCAGGAAGAGAAGAGGAGGACACGCCCCTATGCATGAATAGAGCTGAGATGGAGAGGGTTGAGAGTGTCAAGTTCCTGAGAGTGTCAAGTTCCTAAGAGTGACCATAACTGACCATCTGTCCTGGACCTCCAATGTAGACGCAATGGTCAAGAAGGCACAACAATACCTCTTCTTCCTCAGGCAGCTTAGGAGATTTGGCATGTCCATAAGAATCCTTACCAACCTTTTTCGGTGCACCATAGAAAGTGTACTGTCCGGGTGCATCACAGCTTGGTACGGCAACTGCTCTGCCCAGGGCTGTAAGAAACTACAGAAAGTTGTGTGCATAGCCCAGACCATCGTGGAAACCGACCTCCCACAACTGGAGGGAAATTGAGTTGTCTAGAGGTCACAAATGCATGCATACGGGTTTTAGTAGTTAAAGCTGAGACAGGAGTGGAGAGAGATGTTTATGAAGGTTGAAACATCTCACTATTTAGGATATAACTTATTGTTGAAGAAGATGCTAAGATTGGAAACAATTTGGTTCACTGCCGACATTTGGAGTCGGTTGCTAGGTAATGAAGTTTATGATGTGGGCTGAAGGTAGTAGCTTTGGTTGGCTTCACGTTTAGTGAAAGAGTTTGTAAAACAGCTGAATGCTTAGATAGAATGCAAAGCAGTGTAGAGTTCAGAGACCGAGACACAGTGCATAAAGCAATGCACAGTTTAGAGAGTGCCAGTAAAGGAGCTTGGATATCGAACAAGTCTTGGCTAACTTTTTTGGGAATACTTTCTTTCTCCAGTATCATTTTTGACTCTAAGGATGCTAAGCAGTTAGTGGTTGTAGGTCATGGCCAGCGTCCATGCCTTGTACATGTAATCTAGGTTCAAGTCTCATTATTGAACTGAGAACGAGCACAGCATGATTGACTGTCCTGAGTTTTGGGTGAAATCATTTCTTCCCTCTTGAGTCAATATTATGAATCCACTGAAGCTATTTGAAGAGGAGCAGGGAAATTCTGGTGAACTGGTCAATGTTTATCCCTCAGTCTCTTGGCCATCTATCTTATGCTGAGCCATGCTTATTTATGACCATTTTGACTCATGGCCAAAAAAAAAACTTCTGTGGAAGTGAGGTAAATGAGACTGAGGTGGCTCAAATTTAACATGTTTTGGATGCATGATGCAGGAGTCAAACCACCCTGGCATACTCCGGTAATTGTCTACATTAGATCTTCAGTATTGTAGAGCATTTTTGGCTTATTGTTGAGATCTGGAGGTGCAGTCCTATTACTAGGATCTGTGATTAAATTCTGTCTGATCTAAGTACTGCAGTCTGTTGGGGTAATCGCAGTTTGAATTAGCAAAAATGGTTTTTATCAAGTGTCTTTTTTAAGTATGGTATAGGGGTTGAGCTGCAAGCTACGTAGTAGCTGGCTCCATACATGTGGATGCTGTTGTTAAAGGCCCAGATGCAAAATTGGAAGGGAAAGGGACAAAGCTAGATCTTTAAGTCATCTCAGAGATATCAGTGTGGGGGTTGGGAGGAAATGGGAAAACTAAAATTATGTAGTTTGCCATGTCATGCGTTGATAAATTGTAGAATTTTAGCTGTTTAAGCTTCATCAGTGCCCCTGTTCACAACTGGATAGAAGAAAGCCTGAAAGGTAGGTAGTGTGAGATGCTGCAGAAAGGGTATTTGTGCATGCCAGAGCTAAAACGCTGTGACTTCTTAGCAATTTGCTTTTGAGAATATTTGGCATGTTTCCAAACATACCAGATCCTCAGCTGATTCAAAAACCTTTTTAAAAACTTCACTGTAAAACTGAAAATTGAGGAAGTTATGACCATGATTAACACTTTTTTAGAGCCACAGCTGAAACCTCGAATCCTGCTTCAAAACACAAGGATATTGATCAATTTAACAAGTGAATTGCTGGATGTTCTCGCATGTTAGTATTATACAGGCATTGTAGTAATTTTGAAAATCAAAATGATAGTCCACTGTCATCTTCTAGACCTAAGTGACTACTCATTTTGTGATCTATGAAGAAAAGAAGCAATTCTGTAAGCTTCTTTCACAGTTCAGTTACAGTATTCACTTTCATTTTCTGTTTTTCAGGTGCAGGAGACATTGTAGCCATAATGATTCCTGAGCTGAAAGGTCGTGAGATAATGAGCCTAATTGAAAGAAACGTCACCATAATGATGTACATAACAATTGGAACACGTAATTTACAAAAATATGTCAGTCGTACCTCAGTTGTATTTGTCTCAATCTCGTTCATTGTGTTAATGATCATTTCGCTGGCCTGGTTAGTTTTCTACTATATCCAGAGGTTCAGATATGCAAATGCTCGTGACCGGAATCAGGTAAGACCGTTTTAACACTCTTTTGGTCTACAGTTTGCTGATTCTTTGATTTTTTTTTTTTTTTTTTTTTTACAAATTCACTTATTCAAAAAAAACTGATATTTTAGCATTTGCTGTCATTTGTCCTTGGGTGACACTAGTAGAGACTACTTGCATTTGTATAATGCCTTTATCATGGATGTTATCAGGAATGCATTGCCTCAGAGGGTAATGGGGGCAGATTCAATCGATAACAATCAAAAAGGAATTGATGAGCATTCAAGAAAAACAAAAATTCTGTGCAGGGAAAAAAGGATAGAAATGGGTCAATTGGATAGTTGTTCAAAAGATCTAGCACATTGCCTTCTGTATGATTTTGTGAACAAGATGAGGTTTTCCATGGGGTGAGTCAAATGTTTGGTTGAAGAGGTGGATTTTAAAAAGGGAATTAAGAGGGGAGGTAGGTAATTTGATATTTGGGGAAAAAAAATATAGAGCATGCATAGGGTCTGGGAGGTTGAAGCCATTATTATTAATGTTGAGATGAAGGGTGGGATAGATACAATTGACAAATAGACTTCTTTTTAAATGAAGAAATATTGTAGAGACTTGTAGAAATAGACTATGGATTTTTAAAACGTAGAATGCATTCCAGAAGATCCCCTGAAGAATCCTACAGATTAAAATATCAAAGAAACAAATCTTTTTCTTTGATACAATACTAAAGCTTCCTTTTTAAGGGGTTAAGTTTCCTACAGTGCAGGCTTTAATGTTTAATTATAACCAGATATATGCATATTTAACATGATTAATGTGCACATTGCTGAGGAACTTGTGTTTTTTTTAAATCACCATGGGAAATGTTGGTTATAAATAGGCATCTTGTGTATTATAAAAATAGATGTGCCAATCACTCCAGAAATTAAGAAAATCAGTAAACTTTGCTGAAGTGCAAAAAAGCTTCCACAGGTACTTTTTTTAGTAAAATCATGTCTACTTTGGTTAAATGATATTAAGCTTTTTTTCTTCTAAATTTTATTAGCTTCTTTATTGCTGTAAATGTTTAAAATGCATTAAGAACAGGTATTGTAAAAGGGGTCATGGTTTTCTGCATTACCTATTATGCCTGCAAGTTGCCTGTTTTATGTTGATAGAATGCTCAGTGTTATGTAGCGTTAGATTACAGAACATTTTGCGATTGTTTGTTGGTTTGGCAGCATGCGTTACCACACCATAGCCATAGGACTGTGCAACAATATATCATCTTTATGGATGATGTGATGATACTGTACCTTTTAAGATATGTGTTCTGTGCTCTTTCTGTTGCAGAGAGGTATTGTCCCAGTGGTACCAGACAGGCTTTGCTAAACAGCTTTTGAGTTCTCCCTGGGTTTTATTTTAAAATGAGACAGACAAAATAAGAGCAGACAGAGTCAGGGCTCACAGACCCAAGAAGGCTTTTAGTTTTGCTTTCAGTTATTGAAAAGGTTTCTGCTGGCTGCTGAGGCAAAGTTTGAGTTCCTGGCTGCTGTAGTGAAGTCTTGTATAGCGAGTCTTCCTCTTAAAACTCAAAAGGGCCAATTGTTTGTTTCTTTCTGGCCTGGAAAGAGGCAGCATGTGAGAACCATACCTGTTTTGCTGAATTCTATTTTTGTCAAAGGTATTTGTGAAACACTTGATGTTCATGGTTAAGTAATACATTAATTCTTTTGAAATATTTAATAAGAAAGTTTTATGACAATTCTTGTCTTTGTATTAAAGTGTGTTTTGATTAAAGCCTAGTGGTGGACCAATCAAATCGCATCTGGAACACTACACCTACCACTTGTCTTTAAATAAATATAAAAGTTATGGTCTCGGCTATTTCCTTGCAATACTTTTGTGTGTGTTTGTGTTGGAGAGGCGGGTGTAGGGCTGGTGTCTGGTCCATAACAACATGATAACTTAAATTTGAGGATGTTTATAATGATATGTGGAATAATCAAATAGAAGAATGGTCAAAAAATCCAAATGTGACACATCATTCCTCTATCCATCTGTCTTTTGAGCTGTGTGGCTCTCTTGTAGAAATCTTGCCCTCCTCACTTGGTTTATCACGTTAGTTAATAATCTTGCTAGGTCCTGGGAAGCTCACCCTACTCTCAGTTGAGTGATCTGTAATATGCCTTCCACTGACTCCTCTAGTAATTTTTTATCCTACACAAGGTCTGTCTAAATTGGCAATTCTCCTGAGTTCTTCATATGTGGATAATGTTAGATCTATGTTGCCTGGTCATGACTGCTGTGATTGTTTGAGGTGGACCAGTAAGTTGATCTGACATTGCCCAATCAGTCCTTGCTGCTATTGTCATTCTGAAGAAGGGTCACTGCCCCTGAAACATTAACTCTACTTACTCTCTAAAGATGCTGGAAGACCTACTGAGTATTTCTAGCAATTATTGTTTTTGTTGCTGATCTAGCCCCTTTAGTATCTGCATCATTCTGTACTATGAAATCAGACAACATGAATGTGTTAGCTCCATTTCTGTGGTGCTGGCTGAACAGGTTCAGGATAAACCAAGGCATGTGTAGTCAATCTCACTGCTTGGACCTTAGTATAAACCCTTATGCATTTATAGAGAAACACGTAATGCTGGACATTAAAGGTCTGTTCACTCTACAGAACAAATGCAGACTAATCACCTTAAACTCAGTCAGTGAAGGGACTGTGGTTTGGCCGCACAGATTTGCATGCACTAAATGAATAAATCTGTGAACCTTGCGTGGCCAAATTATTCCAACCAAAATCTGACTGTGGGTACTTCTGTGGTCATCCACAACATCTAGATGCAGGCAACTATGACTTATGCAGTAGTAATCCTTTGTTGCACTGCAAAGTACTATTTTTAATGAGTAGTCAGTACATCTCAATCTCTTTGTGCCCTATTCATCCTGACCCATTGAAGACAATCTGTCTGTATTAGTGGTCACTATCAAACTGGCAAACGGCCTCTTGGTTTGCATTGCAAAACTTGAAAGACGTGCAGTGATTTTTCTCATTTTGCTGTATTTAAAACCTATAATCTGAGTTTGCAAATCAACTAGGCTGAGTAGCTGGCATGCTGAACAGATTGTTATAGCTCACCGTGAGACACTTGGTGTCAAGTGTTTATCTCATGAGCATGTGAGCCATCAATGAAATGATCAATATGAGTACCTATTTTGGGAGCTTTTCCAGGAATCTGTTCATAACTTTAAATGTTGGAATGTTTGTGACCTGTTATGCTTTTGCTTTCCAGGCAACTTTTGTCCCGTGTCTTTGAGGTAGACTTTGATCAACTGTTTGAGTTTAGGGAGTAAGAAGCAAGGATAGGACACTTCACCATGTTATAGTGTATTCTAGTAGCAATATTGATAAAATGGCATACCTTTCTGTGTAAAACTGTGAATATCATCTTTTGTTTTAAAATTTGGAACAGCTATTAAATGATCACACACAAACACATGAGATGACATAATTAGACTTGGAGGTGCCCATGACTAGAATTGGCAAGGCTAAAATCATGCTATGAGAGTACAACAGGTGGTTGCTTAGTCTGCATTTGAATTTCCACTCTCCATCTGCAGTGTTCACATTATATAAGCAAGACTGAAAGTTGGAGATTCTGTCTTTTATAAGAATTGACCCATGTAACCCTATATGTAATTGTATCATAGCAAAACATGAGAATGTAACAAACATTGTGCAAATTTGATCTCTGATTTTACCATTTTGCATGAATTATCGCTATTCATTTAGATAAACTGCAATATTAAACTTTAATCAAGTGTCAAAATCATGGCAATCTACTTTATGAATATAATTGGTACTCCTGCAGAGCCCAGTAATTGGTTAGTTTTCTAAGATTAACTTTTAAGGGTTAAAAGTTTTGGCAAATCATTGAGCCCTGTGTATAGAGACAAAAAAAAACTGCAGATGCTGGAATCCAAGGTAAACAAACAGGAAGCTGAAAGAACACTGCAAGCCAGGCAGTGTCTGGAGGAAAGGAGCAGTGAATGTTTTGGGAATTACCCTTCTTCAGGAACCCTATGTATACCCCTATGTATAATCTGATAATTATAAATAGACTTATCTGATTGAAATAGTTTTCTTTTCCATTCATGAATACTGTGTTTTTGAAGATTGTAGTGGAACATTTAGAAAACTTCGGAAAGAATCCCTCCAATAGGGAAACAGGCCATTCGGCCCAACAATTCCACACCAACTCTCCGATGAGCATCCCGCCCAGACTCAGCCACCTATTGTATCCATGTAACCCTGCATTTCTCATGGCTAATCCACTTAACCTAGGCATCCCTTGACACTATGAGCAATTTAACATGGCCAATCTACCTAAGCCCCACATCTTTGGACTGTGGGAGGAAACCGGAGCACCCGAAGGAAACCCACACAGACACTGGCAGAATGAATACTAAAATTAGTTCTAAATCTTTAAAATTGTAAACATGAATTGAGTACATTCTGCAAAATTGCCAAAAATTATTAGATTAATTACGAAGGAGAGCTGTAAGTCATCTGTACAGTTTAAAAAGTACTAAATAATTTAAAGAATTGTGATTTTCAAATGCCCACTGCCAGGGCTACTGTTCAAGAGAAAATTTGAAACTGCTAGTTACTGAATTGTTTAGAGGTGATGAACACTTCCCAACGTCTCTTGAAATCACCATTCTGTGTGTGTTTGTGAGAGTGTGTGGCTGCAATTGGGAGCTAATTGCCTGCGTTATTTTGGTGTACTGAGAAATAGGGTGGAATCTTGTAGGAGCGTGAATGACAGGGGCTATAGTGAAAAATGAAGCCTGTCTTGACAGTGGAAGCAACTTGGAGTCATAGAGATATACAGCACAGAAACAGACCCTTCGTTCCAACTCATTCGTGCCGACCAGATAACTTAAATCAATCTAGTTCCATTTGCCAGCATTTGGCCTATATCCCTCTAAACGCTTTGTATTCATATACCAATCCAGATGCCTCTTAAATGTTG